CAAATTTATTTCTATGTATTATTATATATATGTATACATATATATATATATATTAAAATACAGGGTTCTCTCAAGGCACTTATAGGGCCTGGCAACCCCACAGGCTATCGTTGAAGCCTCCACCGATCCTAAAATGCACCCCCCGCTAAATATCATAAGGCCGCCATGCCTGAACACCAAAGTGAAAGCAATTAATTAATTACACGTTGGTCTTCGGAGTGCTAGCGGGTGACGGCAGTAGCCACAACACATTATATCCTACCCCCTATACAAAATTCCATACTATGTGCAGGGTTTTCATTATCTTTTATCAGTAACAGGCCGAAATGCTTTGCCAACACGCGTGGCGTGTGTTGGGCGGGGGTTTGGGGTACCCAAATAAATAAAAAAACCTAGATGCTGCTGAGATGCAATCTGGGTGTAGTTCTGAGCTGCAGTAAACAGAAACATTTGATATACAGTATGGTCCTTTTTTCCAATTGGTTTTCATCTGTACATTAGAAGTACAAAAATTTCCCAAATTAATGACAAAATTTAAGTAATTTACAAAGATAATTATTATATCGTTACTCAAAAACAAAACAATGGCATTCTTGTCGCACATAACAATGCTTACGCAACCGGATTTATTCTAGTAGTAGCTCCATAAAGCACTTTTCACTTTGGAGAATAATTAAGGCAACTAAATGCAAAGCAAAAAAATATTTCAAAAAATATCATATTTGAGCGCAATTGTAACCGCCGAAACAAGCAAGAGTAGACGGTCAAATTCGGTCCTAATGAGAACACTGATGTGTACTGAACCTCTTGCTTTAAATATTTTGCATAGCTGAACTGACAATGCAATCCAACCAAACTGGTGTAGGTCTAGCTGCACAACTAATGTTCATTTTCATACTTCAAAATCGCGAGTGTTTTCTAGCTCATCAAAGAAATCTTTAATTGTGAATTAAATCGTGACTTAATTTAACGGCATTATCTGAGGGCAGGTAAGCCGCCCAGTCCTACAGAAGGTAGGAGCAGTTACTGTAACTTACCGACCACTCCTGCATTGGTCACTGTGTACAAAAAAAATTCTCGCATTTATGTTATCGAGAGGTAACACTGCGATTGGAACCAGTAACGCAGCCAAGTTCACCTACCTGTTTGTCTTTTTATTCCGATTAATTTTTGAATCCCAATGGCTTTGCCCATGCAAAACAAACATTTTCACCCCACATGCAGTGCTTCAAATTTACACACAGAGTGTCCCAGATTGCATCTCAGAGCTTCTAAAATTCACAAATTTTCCGGGGGGGTATGCCCCCCGGACCACCCTAGCACTGAGTACCACCCCCATGCTATAATTTAAAAGCTTGGAGAACCCTGATATATATATATATATATCATATATGGATTATAAAGTGAATGTGTTTTCATAAAACCTAACCTTTGTGTAACTTATGCTACATAAAACCTCCAATACAGCTGCCTGTATGGCACTCACCATGACCCTGATCCCTTCCTGCTCCAGCGGTTCAGTATTGTAGGTGGGCTCACATACTCGAACCACATCCTTAACGCCCTTCACTTTCAGTTGCTGCAAAAACATTAAACAAGATGAAAACTTTTACACCACTCAGTCTCGTGTATACACATACAATCAGGAGTCTATCAATATCTCTCATCATATTGATAGACTCCTGATACAATCATTGATACAATCACGTATTTTATCTGGTAATGATTGGTACAAGCTACCACGCAAGTTGAACCCATGTTTGACAGCAGCACTTTCTGTTTTGCCTAGATGAAAAATAATCCCGTATGAAAAATTATGCCATAGTAAATAAGCCAAATTTTTTAAATTCACTTGAAAAATCTCACTTTAAGTATCACAGCTGCCACACTACGTATATGAATACCTTCACAGGAACGATTTAACAGACACGGTGGGGGCAGGGCTGTAGCTGACAACATTGAGTTGATAGCTAATACCAAAATAAATATACAATTATCTAGTGCTGTTCCGATTAATCGAGTTCGTCGATCATTACTCGTTTGGGCTGCCGAGTTGATTAATCGAGTAGACGACCGAGTACAACTCGAACTTTTTAATTTCTTTTTTTAATTTCCAGATTTGATACAAGTACATACATTTACACATATACTAGTAAACACAGTGCGGTGTAAATTTTCAAGGAACTAAGCGACTTTGTTTCCTGAAAATCAAGCCTAATCCTAAATTTTCCTACATCTTTTCAACTTATTTCCTAACTAAATATAAAGCGATTTGAAACAAAATTCAGGACACTTTTTGTCATGATTATGAAGCAACTTATGTAAAAGTTTATGGTCTCACAACTCTGCTGTTTCTGAAAATAACCAAAAAAAAGCAGTTTTTGTAATAAATTCAGCAATTTTTCCTCAATTAAATTACGATGAAATTTTTAATAAAAATTTTCATACGATAGCATACAGATATCGCTCTTATGTACCTGGATAAAATGAGTTTGATTGAATTTGATGAGGTCATTATTTGCGGCAATGCTCTTTAGAGTTACCCATACTCGATAACCTAACATACCATTAAATTTACTTGCCCCCTTAAATACGTAGCTACACATACAATGTCAATATTCCTTCGCAATACACGCGGTTTTGTGTCAGAGGCGATGACGCGGCGATATGATTAATCGATCAAAAACCCCGGGGCGGTCGTTTTGTCAAACGGATTGATCGATGGCATGCGAAATTTTGGACCCGAGTCTCAACACTACAATTATCCCAATTACATCCGTTGAAACAGGCTACTAAAAGTGTGCCTCTCCTGAACTACTGGTGAAACATTTCAGTGTTGACATCGATTTGAGGTTGGCTACCAATATAATGTGTTTGCGGAATGCTATATGATATGCAAAAGACACTATTTCCCTAAATATTACTAATGTTATAGTACGGTGAGGAATTAGCAGCCAGTTTTTGTAATTTGATGATCGTAGAGTAATAGAGATAATAATTGATTTAGTTATTATAACAAGATACTGACTACATAATGATATATTCTAGCAAAACCTAATCACTCTCATTTGAATTTATATATATACAGAAGGCGCACAGATAAGGCACCATACGTGGGCTATGGCCACGTTCAAAAGGATTTTAGTAACAGGTTCCTTATAGCAGTACACTCGTTCAACCTCTAAGAGTGCGCACATAATATATATAATTCAAAATGACTTTTAGTGATCAAGAAAGCTGATTGACTGACCAGTTCAAGCTGAGTAATACTCAACTGTATTCCCTCAAAACATAGAAAGTGCACAAAACCTCTCAATCAAATCAATCAAAGTAATGCGATTTCTGTCCATATAAGATATTTAATTCAGGGCTACCCCTGGTACTCACTTCCTTCATAAAATGTGATAAATAATCAAAAGTGTGATTGAAAATGATTGTTGGCACACAAAATTGGCACACAATCAATAAATTACAAATATTTCTAAATTGCTAGTCTTTTGGGAAAAGAAATGTATTTCTATATGATATTTAAATATAAAATTGAGTACATTGTGCAATTAAACACAATTTAACTGTAAATAATTCATAATAATAAATAATGCATATATATCAGGATTAGATAAAGGGAAGGAGTGTGACTTCAATAAACAAGGGAAATTCGTCAATTTATCTAGCCTTATAATAGCCTACGATTTACTACGCGTACTCATCCAACTTGTAGCTCAAAATCGACTACCAGTACATTTCGCCATCATCGTACGAAAATCATTTGCCACTCGTAAGACACCCCAAATTCGGAATAGCAGACTGGAACACGTATCGACACGATTCTCTATTCTCTGCCAATAAATTCACCCGCAAGAGCGCCTATACTTCAAACAAAGAGGCAGCATACTAACCACACTGTCCACGGGAGCTTTGCCGCGCACAGGCGAGGCGCTGTGGCTCGCAGGAGCTGCTGCTCGATAGCGGATTGGCGTGCGTGGCGTGCCGTGCATGCGCGGTATGACATACAGGCAACATTTGTAGCTCATCTACCTTGGTCAAAGTTATCGTCGCGCGATGTTTGCGTTGATGCCTAATCACTTTCTGCTAGCCATCAGGCCTCGCCGTGAGGGCAAGCCCCGTGGTCCGTGACAGTGTGGTTGTAGGCTGCCTTTGTTTTGAAGTATAGGCGCTCTATGCGTGAATTTTATTGGCGCAGAGAATCGAAATCGTGTCGTAACGTTTCAAGTGCTGTATCTCCGGATGTGCGGTGTCTACGAGGAAATGATTTCGTACGACTTGAAATGGGCCAAATGGTACTGTGTCCGATTTGAGGGTCAAGTTGGATGAGTATACGCGGTGAGTAAATCGTAGGTATTATAAGGCTAGTAAATGACGAAATTTCCCTTCGTTTATTGAAGTCAAGCTCCTTCCGCTTTACTAGCTCCTGATATATATGCTAACAATAAGCGCAAGGTTTAAAATGAAATGGACACCAATAACGTGGGGTTTGGCAAGCTAGTGAGTTTGCTTAACCGATACGATGGAAAGGTAAGGGCTAAATTCTTAAATCAATTGTGGGAGTAACATTTTCAAAAAGTGGGATATTTTTTAGCCTACACTGTATTACATAGTACACTCATTCATATATTTCAATGCGTGCATCTTCGTCTTAAATTACAAATAAATGCAGCATACCAATTAGACTGCTATAGCTGGCATCAATTGTGCTGAATAATGGCTTCACCATTAACCCCATCTAACACTTCAATTCTACGTGGGCAACTGAAGCAGCTTGAGACTGATACGTCTGTTAACACTATGTGTGAAATGTCCGTGTAAGACACCTGACGTTTCTCACCCGCAGACACCGTGCGATTTTTACGCAGTGACTGGCGATTGTGTTGGCCAGCAACAACAATCGCGGAGGAAATGGCCGACGGTGTTGCGCTGCAACGTCGTCGGCTGATTTTTACGCCAGACCACTCCCGCCATGGCAATTCAAACACGTTTGAATAATGTTCATAAGGTCGCTGAAATCAATCGCTATGTGGCCGCTGACCGCGCGACGGATTCAGGCAACAGGTTTTTGGATGTAACTCAATCAAATGCCATGATTTGAAGCACTGATTCAAATATGCAAGAGCGCTCCGTGGTGTGGCTGGAAGCTAGGTGCAAAGTAGCAGTTTTCAGACAGTGGTATGGTTGCTGACAGATGTTGCGATGTCGCCGGGTGCCGCACATGTGGCGATTTTTCATAGACACTACTGTCGGATAAAATCCGCCACGTGTGCGCACCGGCTTTAGAGTTGCATCTATCGAACAGTGCGCGGGAATAATCATATCAGTATCGATACTATTCATCGGTAGCAACAGAATGCTTATTACCACGCAACATTTCCCACGTCACATGCTACCACCTTTTGTATAGCGCCAAAAATACATGGCACGTAGATCATAAAAGGTCAACTAAATTATCAAAACACAGTTACAGGCGTTAATGGCATTAGTCAAAATTCGTCTACTTTCTTGCTACAATCACAGACATTTAAGTTTGTAAGACTTTGCACTGGACACAAGCCTTAAACATTGACCCCCCCAAGATAATCAAACAATAAGGGTAATTTCAAATGTTTTATTTTAAAAGGGCAGCCGTGCATGACAAATACCCCGGATCATATAAAACCTGATTTCTCATGACATCTTAATGGTCTGTCTGATCAGTGAACACACGACATTGCAATCGAAGATAGCAGAGCAGGCCCAATTTCATAAATCATTAAATGTTTTTGTCAACATGCAGATGATAGCACCTAGATGACATGTGATTTGCTATTTAAAATATTTCGTAGGGCATGGCGGTGCACTTGTCCTCGCAGCTTTTAATTAAAACCATGTTGTGATAGTTAATGCAACACAAGTGAGGCCTGTATTGTTTTGATAGACCGGCTACTTGCTGATAATTTATTTTACATGTTTAATTTTGTGTTGAAAGCAATTGTAATTTCCATATTCCTTAAGAAAACTTAATGATAAATAAACATTGGTAATTTTGTTTAATTTCACGAGAGGCTTAATCCAACACTGACATAATCAAGACAAACTATCCATTACCTTTTTAAGCATAATATGACTTGCACATGATTGCTTCAACCTTGTGTTGTAACTTGTCTATAATACTATATCTCATACATGTGTAGCTCTAAATTATTTCAACGCTTCTAGTAAGGTAAAAACTACACAAGAACAAAACCGTGGCATGGAATTAGAGCTATGTTCATGCCTTCGAACATTTTTTTATGTCCGTGTAAGAAGAGATTCCTATAACACTTAACATTAAAATTAAGGACAGGGACAAAGGTAAACAGGTGTTAAAGGTTAAGCTTTTTACATCACCAATACGGGTTTTTACAACAGCAGTAAAGCTAGTCGCGATGCAGCGAAGTAAGCTTGCTACAAGACATTACTCACCTCCATTACTGAGAGATTTGTGTCAGTTGATCGTCCGTGATGAGAAAGCGCATGTTCCTGTGCACGATCTCGGCCGGAGCTGGCCGACGATCGTTTGCTGGCTGTTCTCTGCTGAAGGCTTCTGCTTGATATGTTTAATCAGGTTGAGTTACGCTAACGACTCCGACGCTGTGATCCGGTTCGCGTTCTGGTCACAATTCAACAACTTGAGCTGTGCTACTTGACAGTGGTCTTACCCACATCTTCGTAGATTCGTGGCA